CCGGGGGGCCAGAGCCCGGCTGCCCCCCTGCCTGGCCCAAACGCCTGCGGATGCTCTTCCCGTGTGGGAAAGGGCTGATTCCCTCTGTACCAACTGCTGTGGGAATTCCACAATCATAAAGTAACCTGGAAGCTGGGCACTCACTGCTATCAGTGCCAAGGAGCATGGAGAACAGGGAGGGCGGGTGATGCTTCTGGTGGTGCCATGCAGAGCGGAGAACTGTCCCCACTCCGAGCTGCAACCCCGTTTCAGGGGTGCTAGTGCAACCCCTCGGGGGTCAACATGCATTAGAGGCAGGTTCCTGAGGCATTTGGCCTCAGGCAACTTTTCCCTGAGGAGCTAAATGTGCAGCCAAAGGTGCAAAGCGAAGGGACAGGCAACATGAAGAGCGAGGGACCGCAGCCCCAGGTGGCGTGAGCGGCGGGAGCAGTAACCGCCTTCCCAGCTCGGGCCTCGAAAGGAACAGCTCCGAGCAGAGACTCGTGCCGGGTAGCCTTTCCCAGAGGAGCCAAATCCACCAAAAAACCAACAATTCAGCCAGAAAACCTCACCCGTACAAGGGCAGCCCCCTGGGAGCGTGGCGAGCAGCACACGGCACCGCAGGGAAGGCGAGGTGTGAGGTGAGGAGTGAGGCGAGGTGTGAGGTGCGAGGCGAGGTGTGAGGTGCGAGGCGAGGTGTGAGGTGAGGAGTGAGGCGAGGTGTGAGGTGCGAGGCGAGGCGAGGAGCGGCCATCAGGGCGAGGCAGCCTGGAGCCTCCCTGCACCTTGGGACAGCTGTAGGGATTGCACGTATGTGAGGTACAAGCATGGGGAAGAGCTCCTCGGCATGGCAGCTGAGCTGCGACAAGAGGTGGAAACATTGAGGCGTATCTGGGGTTCAGAGAGTGTGATAGACACCTGGTGGCGCCAGGCTCTGGCCTCTGTGAAATGTGAACAGGCACCAGGAATTCCTCAAGAACAGGGGAATGCTGTTTCCATCCTCCAGCTGAGAGAGAAGCTGGAAAGGTGAGAGCAAATAGAAACAAGCCCAGGCTCGAGGTGGCAAGAGAAATCCGTCCTCACCCAAACAGGCACCTCTGTGAACATATATGAGGCCCTGGAGGTTGCATGGCAATCAATGGATGGAGAGGGCAAGGGTCCCTCTCCGCAGGAGATATTGCCAGGGTTAGAAGGACCAACCCCCATATTGCAACCACCTGCGGGAGGAAGAAAAGGTGAGTTACAGTTGCGGGCGATTCCACAGCAAGAGGAACAGAGGGTCCAACACATAGAAGGGACCCTCCTTTAAGGGAAGTCTGCTGCCTTCCTGAGGCCTGGGTAAAGGACCTCACCAGGAAACTTCCCAGCTGACACTGCTTGGGATTCATCTTTTCCAACTTTGATCATGATCTAGTGGGGCTCGTTGAGAGGGCTTTAAACTGGATTCAACAGGGGAGAGGGACATCATCGGTGATGCTGGCGTAAGGTACGGGATGACATGCCAACATTACCAGACCATCTCTAGAGGTCCCTTGAATACTCAACATCCTTCCTGAGGCCTGGGTAAAGGACCTCACCAGGAAACTTCCCAGCTGACACTGCTTGGGATTCATCTTTCCCAACTTTAGTCATGATCTAGCAGGGCTCATTGAGGGGGCTTTAAACTGGATTCAACAGGGGAGAGGGACATCATCGGTGATGCTGGCGTAAGGTACAGGATGACATGCCAACATTACCAGATCATCTCTAGAAGCCCCTTGAACCTCAACATTTCTGTTATTCTGTGATCCCGCAGCAAATATAAAAGCAGTTTTGAGATCTGATCTGGAAATAAATGACAGAACCAGAAATCAGGTTTTGGATTCCCGAGATTCTGGAAGAACATACACAAAGCACGTGTGATGGGGGGCAGTGCAGATTCGCCTTGTTGTCTGCCCCTCTTGTCCAAGGTGACATATCAGCTCTCAGCTCTTGCCCTGCCAGACTGGTTGCAGGTCTGCCTTGCCACCCCCATGCATTTCCAACCCCTTCCCTCCAGGCTGCAGGCTGTTCATCACCGCCTTCAGCATCACACAAATCCTCAAAGTCAAATCTGACCGAGCATTAGGTGCTTTGGCCGCTGCGATCCAACTCCAGGGAGCACTGAAGCTGTGCTGATAAGCCCTTCTAAACCCTATATCAAGTCCAATACGTTAAGTATTACTTGACACGTTAACTAATATAGTAAATCTCAAAGGAGCAGCATGCAGAGCCAGCTGCACAACTAGGCCAACAGCAAGGCAGAACTTACAAGTCCTGCAGGATACAAGTGGCCTCTGAGGCTGTAGCTCAGTTAAGTCCTTGATCCGGGTAACTCTCCTGGTGACAAGGGCTGTCTGTAGAGGTCAGTAGAGACAGCACAGCCACCCTTCCCTTGCTATTTCCCAACTTTTGAGTAGACAGCATCCCAACAATCGTGTTTTAGCAAGCCAATTCTCATCCATTTTGGAGAGCTCTAGGAGTATGAAGAAGGCTCAGAGATTGCTGCCATGCTCCACAGTCTCATCCAAGCCACCAGGACAAGAGGTAACATGCAGAGGACAACAGCAGAGAACTTGTACGTGGACAGGAGAACAGTTTATCTTCTGCATGTGGGAACCTTCAATGATGGGCTTGGGGAGAAGCTGTCACAGCCACCTACCATGAGGACATCAGCACTAGAGAACCTGGGTGCCTAGTGGACAAGATTTGTACATCTTTTTCTCAACTGTTTCATCCTTTTCTCAACTGTTTCCAACTAAAGGAACAAAGAGGAAAAAGGCAGCTGGAGCCGACATAGTAACCCGACAAGACAACCTGTAGAGTCTATTCCTGTTACTAGTAGAGGCACAGAGACCAAGCCAGCATGTTCCTGCAAGGAGATCCTTACCTAGGTCTACCTACCACTATCCGAGTGTCTCTCACTGTGAGGTAGCAACTCCCATTCCCACAGAATTGTATTTCAAAGACTAGATTTCCCCAAACCATTGCAGAAACGACAGATACTACTTACTCTTGGAGGCTACAGGTGATGTAAGATGAATCCAGAGATGTACAGTGAATCGGGCAGGGAAAGAAAAAAAAAAGAGTTAGTTCATCTGAAGACATTGGACTGCAAGCTTTACATTTGACTGTCAGCTTCCCACACTCTTGCAAAATTTTGGTCTTTATATCCACAAAAGCACTTGGAGAAAGTTTTCTGCATGGTGACAAACTACTCGGAGCTGCAGCCACGCTCATGTTCCTTCCCTCGACAGCAGACACAACCCTGTAACGTCCCTCCCCAGCCAGCCAGCAGCCCTGCAAGCAGCAGCCCTGCCCTGATGCTTCTCACAGTGATGCTGAAGTGGGCACTCACATTTCGTTTGGGCAGAAAAGGTCACCGTCAGCTTGGCGAAGAGATCCTCACTCTCAAACTCTTCTTTAGTAGCCTTTGTCCAGAAACAGTCCTGAGAGAGGTCTTCGGCCACGATCTGCGACAAAGACAAAGCAGGTATGGCTGGAAACAAGCAATATTCACCATATTTTTTGGAATTGCCTTTGTTTTCTAAGCTCCTAAAATTCTTCACAGCAACTGTCTCCCAACTTCAATGCATCTCTCTCTGGTTTATAAAATGTATCTCCTTTCTAACCACTGTCTTCTCATCATCCTCACAAATAATCTGGGCGTACGTTTTCCTTCCTTTAAACACCAGTTCGGAGCTGGAGACAAATCACCATTAAAACCTGACTCTCACTTCTCTTTCACCCATCCTCTTTCACCCTCAGATATTCCTGATCCCTTTCACTCAGACTTCATTTTCATTGCAAATCACTCCTGCCTAGTTAAAAGGAAGAAAGAGCGGGGGGAAAATTTAATTTAAATGCCAAAAGTAGTCCAGACTTTATCGAGCAGGGTAATTATCTGCTGTTTGCATATTTCCAAAAGGTTATGCTTATTATATTGCTATCACGGAGCCACCTTCAAAGCCCTTTTGACAAGGCAGAGGGCAGAAAACGTTCAATGAACATGAGTGCAGTTAAATGTGATTAAGCATTAATCCAGGGCTGCAGCCTAACTAGGGAACAGCCTGTTCCTGTGCACCGTGAGCCGCAGGCTGGGACCCAAGGGAGCTGCACCCAGCTGGGTGCCCCTCTGGCCACTGAGCACTGCTGGTCCCCATGACTCTGCTCTGCTCTCTGCACACCAGGATGAGACTGGACAATACACTGTGAAGCGATGAGATGTGACACAAAGAAAAAGGAGCTCGTCTGGCTGTAGGGACAGGGTGCACGATGACCCGAAGATTTCCGTCCTACCTTGGACCAGTTTGCTCTCCGCAGCTGCACATCAGGTTTATAAGCCTTCTTTGGAGCTAATCCGTATGGAAGAACTGGAGCTGCACAAGGTCCCCAGCCACTAAGGGCAGGGGGAGGAGGAGGTGCCCCCATTCCTGGTGGAGGCGGTGGGATCCCAGGAGCTCCTGGAGGAGGAGGTGGGGGAGGGATGCCCCCACTCATGCCTGGCAGTGGAGGGGCTACTGGGATTCCCACAGAAGAAACACCCGGGAGAGGAGGAAGAGGTGGGATGGCTCCAGGAAGAGAACCTGGGAGAGGAGGAGGAGGTGGGATGGTTCCAGAACTTGGGAGAGGAGGAGGAGGTGGGATGGTTCCAGAGCTTGGGAGAGGAGGAGGAGGTGGGATGGTTCCAGAACTTGGGAGAGGAGGAGGAGGTGGGATGGTTCCAGAACTTGGGAGAGGAGGAGGAGGTGGGATGGTTCCAAAAGAACCCGGGAGAGGAGGAGGAGGTGGGATGCTCACTGAAGGAGCACCCGGGAAAGGAGGAGGAGGGGGGATGTCCCCAGAAGGGGCAGCTGGAGAAGAAGGTGCTGGCTGGGGGATCCCTGTGTGGCCTTCAGCTGAAGGAAGAGCAGAAGAATCCGGGAGAGGAGGAGGAGGTGGGATGGTTCCAGAAGAATCCGGGAGAGGAGGAGGAGGTGGGATGGTTCCAGAAGAATCCGGGAGAGGAGGAGGAGGTGGGATGGTTCCAGAAGAATCCGGGAGAGGAGGAGGAGGTGGGATGGTTCCAGAAGAATCTGAGAGAGGAAGAAGAGGAGGGATGGCTCCAGAAGAACCCGGGAGAGGAGGAGGAGGTGGGATGGCCCAAGAAGGGGCTGGCTGGAGGATCCGTGTGTGGCCTTCAGCTGAAGGAGGAAGCGAGGTAGAAGAGAATGAAGCCTTTTCGCTCTTTGCATCTTCGAGCTCCTTTTCCAGCTTTGCAATCTGAAGAACAGCAGAAACAACATTCCATCACCAGCTACACGAAGCAAACAGGCACCATGCTGAAACACTTCCCATAGGCTTGTGTCCAAGCCCTAACCCATCTCCTCACAAGCTGCTGCCAAATCCCTTGGTCGATGCAAAGCCAGAGCCCACAGCAGCCCCAGGAAACCAATTCCAGGCAGCTCTGCTCAAGGGCAGAGCCTCGTGCCAGGCCCAAAGCAGTGACCTGTGGAGTGACCTTCCTGGCCTGGGACCTATGGCCACTGTGAGGAGAAAAGGGAAGAGCTGCTCTAACCCCAGCCCAACTCCCCAGCCCGCAGCTCAGCCTGACATTTACCTCCTCACTCAGCTGGGAGACTTTGCTTTCCAGCTCCTGCTTCTCCGCAGCCATTTGCTGTTTCTCTGCGTCCAAGTTCTGCTTCTTTAGACGTTCATCAAGGAGTTTCTGCTCCCAGTCCCCCTCCATCTTCTTCATTTCCACCTGCAGCTCCTGCCGTGCAGTCAGCTCTGAGTTCAGCTGCAGAGACAGGGAAAGGATGAGTTGCACCAGGAGCGCAGTGAGTGTGTGTGGGCAGGGGACAGAAGGGACCTTCCTTTCTTTTGCTAAAAGTCTCTCAGAGAGGTTACGTAGCCTGCATAACACAGCTCTTGTGCACTACTCCAAATCACACAACCAGAGATGAAGATTCATTCCTCTGCCTAATCCAAGAGGCAAAGCCGTCCGGTCTCGATATCCAGTCTCGTAGTGACAGATCCCAAGGCACAACACACTCACACTGAAGTATGTGTCTTGCTGGGAAGTCACCTTTCTTGCTGGAAAGAATTCCCTACAGTTTTGGCACAATCTAAAGGCAGTTGCTTGCATGGCAGTGACAGGAACTGAAGTTTTCAATTCTATCCCATCACTGCTTCAATTATTAGCAATCTATTAGGGATGATCTGCAGGTGACTATCAGATCGGCTGCAAGCCTGAGATGTATGAGAGCTCCATGCCCCACAGCACAGCTCAAATGTTTTCCCTGTGACAGCTACATTGTTTTTTAATTAAGATTCAAACATTCGTTCTTCTGCTCTCAGAAAGGTCAAGAAGGATGTGCACAGTGATAATTAATTACGGGAAAGTGTTTGACTGCACTGTGTCAAGTCTAATGGGCTCTACTGTGATCCCTGCCTACACATCTGCTGCCCAGGCCACACCATCAGCCAAACCTTTTTCTCCAGCTCCAGCGCTTTGGCCTCACTTTTTTCCACCTTGTTTTGATCAATCAAGTTATCTGAAAATAAAAGGAAATAGGATTAAGTAGAAAAAAACACCATTTGTGAACCCCTCCTTTTCCTTCTCCAACACCTTGCCCAAGCCTTACACTGCCCCTGCTGATGCCCCACAGCGTTTGACTCGGGGTTGAGCTCTGCCCTTGCTGGAGATGCCCCGTCTTTTCATTCCCACATCACTATCTGAAGATGGACATGGCCTTCCTTTTGCTACAACATCTAAGAGACTTGGTTTCTTCTGGAAGTTGCTCTCACAGCAAACCATATCGTTGGCAGTGCTCCCTGCCCAAGCACAGCAGCATTCTGGACAGCATATTAGTGGAATAGCTGTGTGCCCCATGTGATGGAAGACAAGGGACAGCCTAGATCCCTGCACCAAGGATTTGGAAGGGGGAGGACCAATCCCAGAACAGAGCTCAGCTAGAGGAGAAAGAATGGAGAGAAGCAGCAAGATCTGGTGGGGAACAGCTCAAACGAATACAGGGATTCAATAACAGAGTTTGATTTAGAGCATGATGGAATTGGGCTCGTTTCAGCAGAGCTGATAACAGCTAAAGGACTTACCGATCAACCCCTCAACGTTTACATTAAGACGCCTGCACTTAAAGTCAGGATCGGCCCCGTTCTTGTACAGAACTATCTGGGAGACACATTCATCAATCAGCTTATAATACTGAGGTCTGCATTAGGGAAGACAAGACAACAAAACATTAATATCACTTCACAAAATTGCTGCTATGCAAGTAGTGCAAGACAAGAAATGTCTTTCAACACTGCATTGCTGAGCTTCAGGGGATGACCACACACATTTACGGAAAACAAATTTTCTTGGGGTTATTAAGCCCATTGAAGTGATTTAAAGAGTCTCCAACCAGCGTCCAGTTGGAGGGCAGGAGGGGGTCCTGGGAAGCCCTTTACATGCTTCCCTGGACACCTTCACAGACGGGACACGAGGCTAGATATCTGGGCAGACCATGAGATCAGATACACGGTCTGATCCTCATGGAATGTTTTCTTTAAATAGCAACTTTGCTATCCAGGTGACACACAACCTGTCATGTCCCAGAATCTGCCCTACAAGCAACAAAGGATCAAGACAAACTGGATCTTGATGGACCAATTGCCCTCCTGCTGGTAGCAAGTTTTCCTTCCATTTTAGCAGGTACTATTTCTTCTGAATTAATTCAGGAAAAAACTTCCAAAGGGCTTCACAGTCAATCACTAGTGACCTAATGAAGGCGGCAATTATTTTAGTTATTCTTCCAAAATATGTTCATCTTTTTGTGTTGTTTTTTTTTCATTATTTATTTTATTCTCTTCCATCTAATGGTTTTTCTCTTTAATTTAGGCATTTTTCTTTATATTTATCATGTATGCTCTCAGCTTTAACAGAACTTGTATTTCAGAAAAGGAAAAATACTATGCCTAATCTGAAAAGCTTAAGCTTGCAGAGATGGTTTATTCTGGTTTATTTTTACCTATATTTAAGTATAACATTTTCTGTTTTTCTTATTAGTGTTAATTTTGTTAATGAACAAATTATTTTCATTTAGTGAAGTTTGAAACATGATGGAATTAAATACATAAGGCTTAGTAAATTATAACATTCTACCATGAATGGCAGATTAATATTAATAGTGAGTTTCTTCAAAATAAGAAAATTATTAAATGATTTCGTATTAGTTTCTGCAACCTTAATTCACTGCTCCCTGCAGCACAAAAGCAGCATGGTAGGGACCACTGGGCAACATTCACCTTGTAGCAGCCCAGGGTAAAGGTTCCCTCCTCACCTGGCCTCGTAGTCATTGCGGATAAGTAAAAGGTGCTGCAAGATGGAGAGGAAAAACGGTTCTGCTTTGGAATCCTTCACTGTGTTGAGGAGAAGCTGGAATACTTCACTGAAATCAGTGAAGAATGGATTAAGGAAAAAAGTGTTTTCTGGGAAAATGTAGGCCATCTGCCTGCTTGCTGCCTCCCTTCACGCATCTCTGTTTTCAGGGGGTTTCTACCTGCACAGTGATGAACCAAGAGAGGTTTCTAGCAGGTCACTCATCTCCCTTCTCACAGGACAACAAGAGCTCCAACTCCCTGTGAACCACTTGCTTTCACACGATCAGCTCCCTTTGATCTATTTTCTCTCTTTTCCCTAAAAGAAAATCCAAATCTGGGAATGGGAGGATCCAGCAGTGAGACAGCTGCCCTCCCTAGACCTACACACTAAAATGAACTGATGAAAAGGCTCTACATTACATTCCTGCAAAGCAGAAGTTGTTTCACATGCCCTCTGGTGGCCTCCTCCAAAAGCTCCCTGGATGTTGCACAGACAGGGACCCTGTCTCATGTGCTGCCCACAGAGCAACCCACAGCTTGCCAAGAAGGCAGACCTGAATGCAGTGCACCAAACAAGCTGCTCCACAGCCTGGCAAGTCCCGGGGCCAGTTCTGCCTCCTGTTGCTCACAGCATTCCTCTCTGCAGCTGCAGACTCACCTCTCTCCCAGCGTGCGCTTTAGATAGTGAGTTCGATATCCCAACGTGCCAAACTTTCCAGAAACTCTAATCCATGACAGCAAATTGTCAGGGTTCATCTTCCTGACTTAGGCTGGGTGGGTGGCTTTGAAACCCCCCAAAACCTAATCAGAAAAGATCTACCCCTCCACAAAGGGCTGGGTGGAGATTTCTTTCCAAATTCACAATCCCAGGCCTGCCTCGTGGTATAAAAGCTTTTGTAGAAGCACATTTTCTCATCTGGTAGAAACTGCAGCTCTATTCAGATTTTCACCTAGATATGAGCTCTGAAGCTCCAAGAAACATTAACTTCCTCAGCCTCATGCTCAGTCCAGCACATAGCAAAAGGATATTCCATTTCAATGCGGATCTCATCCAGCCGGTTCCTGAGGTCATCGGAGTCTTCGTCACCTTGTTCTTCAAATATAGTCAGTTGTACTTTCAGCTCTTCATTCTCCAGCATTTGCAGCTTCTGCCAAAGATGGCAGTGGGTCAGAGGTTAGAGCACAGCTCAAAGTAACACAGCCTGGACCAGATTTATTGACAAGGTTTAAAGAAGGCCCCGGGAAAGCTCACAATGGCACAGCTGAGGCCAGCAGATACCCGAAAAGAACTGGCCCCCAAGGGAGAACAACCTGGCTATTCACAAGAAGAGATCATTATCATGGGTTTACAGGAAAAAGCACTACCACTATTAAACAAATAAACAAAGAAAAATCTATGCTTGGAGCTGAATGTTCCTTCAAGCGCAAGCAGCTAGAAAGCCACCGAAAGGGCTGCAATACAGCATGTCTCATTATATCAACTTTGCTTTATGTCTGCCAGAAATATAGTTTTTCTGAGTGTTTTTAAGTGGGGCCATGGTATTGAAGGGTGAGAAACAGGAGAGATGGCTGCTGCTTACCTTAAGGATATGCTGCAGCCCAGACCGCATCAGTTCACTGCGAATGTGAACTCTGAAGTCAAGTTCATCAGCAGAGCTGATCATGGCATTGATCAGCTGCATGCAGGCCACCTAGAGGGAAAAAAGGGAGAGAAAACTCTTGAGCAAAGACTGGCACTCGGTGCTTCAGAATCAGAAGACCACAAAAAAAGCTGCAGTAGAGAGAAAAAAAATAATAATAAAAATAAAAACGCCAAGCCCAAAAGTATTTTATCCATCCCAAACTCATGTTGCTACAAGCTCTCCAGCGGCTGTGCTGTATCTGGGTGCAGCACCCACCAAACCTTAGGAAATTAGGTACCTTCAGTGCCACCGAGGTGTCATTTTTCAGGCCATCCAGCAAAGGTTTGAATCGCTCCACCTGATCCATTTCTGCTCTTACAGTCAGCGCCTCCAGAACTCGCTCGTTCCTGTGATGAGAGAGAATCAGCAGCTACCTCGTAGGCCAGGCGAGGAGCACATGTGAAATGAAGAGGGGAGTCAGCAGAGAGACCCCACAGAGGTGCAAGCAACAGTCAGAAAGCCCAAGAGCAGCCTAAGGCAGAGGCGCTACCATCACGTACATGCTGTCAGGCTGAGGCAGGATACAGAGGGCAGACAGGAGCTTCACAGCGTCTATCATCATGGAAGGGACTTTGGGGTCAACAGCTCTCGCAAGCAGCAGGATCCCTTCATCCGTATCCAGCATTGTTTTGATCCCAAACTGCGGAGAAAAGAAAGTTGGAATTAATGTCGGAGACCGAGACAGTCCGATAGGGGAGCAAAGGGGGAATGTTTGATGATTGTGAATGTGAGGAAATGAAAATAAATCATTTGCTCCAAAAGTTTGTCCAAAGATGCATTATCCTGGTTTCCGACAAGTGACCTGGGAATGACAAGGGAGGGAGGAGGGATAGACCTCCAAGTACACACTGCCAGCAAGAGGAAAGCTGCCAGTGGAACTTAAGATTCCAGGAGCTGCAGAGGGAATGGGCAGACCTGGGAGGAAAGAAAGACTCTTAGTTTACTTGAGGAAAGGAGGAGCACACACCGACAAGGAGGTACCCCAGTTCTATCACAAAGAAGGGAAAAGAGGTATCCACGGCACAGGAGTAAGACAAGAAGAGGCAGAACATGACAAGGAGGAAGAGATCCAGGTGAGACAAACAGAGAGATAATCAGAGACGTGCAGAACAAGCCAGGAAAGAGGGAACAGCAGCTGGAGTCCCACAGGCCTGAGAAAACAGACCTGAGGTGCTTGGGACATCTCAAACTAAGTATAGGATTGATGATACCAAAAAACACAGTAGGGAAACAAAACAAGCGATGTGATGACAGCCACAATTTACTAAAGAGCAAGAAACTTCCAGTACCATTGGCAGGGCCCGTTGGAGGGGCGGGAGGCAGCGGCCCAAAGTGACAGGACAGCCCTGGGCAGGACGCTGTGCCCATGCCCGTGCACGTTCACCTCCGGGCACTGGCCAGGGGCACTCACCTTGTTGTTCATAAAGGCCTTCAGGCACCGGATGATCTCGTGTCTGCTCCGGGTGTCGTACGAACTGTGAGGAAGGAACAAAAAGCAGCCAGATGACAAACACAGACTTATGGAACAAGACACATCCCTCCCGCTCGCCGCCAGAGCTCTTAGGTTTTGCTTTGCTGCCTGCTATTACAGAGAGCCCATCTTAATTGGGCCTGATCTTCAAAGGGCAGTGGAAAACAGGAATGCAGGAAGCCACCAGACTGAGGGCTGACATAGCCAGTATTCACATTGCCATCTACTGCCTCCCTCAGCTCAATCCCAACAACCACTCTCACACCCATACATGTCTCCATCTCCATCCTAGAACAGATATTTCTTAAATCTCCCCAAAAAGCACTGCCTCAGCTTCACATGACCAACCTTCCCTCCTGCTCTTCCCTTTTCCCTCCCTCTCTGGGCCATCAAGAGCCCAGAGCAGCAAATGGCCTTGTGGCTTTCTGGAAACCATGACGTTCTGAAACAATTCTCATGTAATCCCAGCTCCTCACCCTGGTGCTTCTTCTTTTTCCTCATGGAGTCCTTTCAAAATATCCAGAAGGCATGTGAGGCCTTCAGCGCCAAAGTTTTGCACCCAACTGGCAGGAACAACAACAAAAAATAATGAATATACATGTACATATACCAAAAGGAAGAAAAAAACAAAAAGAAAACCTTGAACAATTTGGTACTTCCACACACCCCTTCTCACTCACTCCCAGTGTGAAAGCACCAACCTTTCCCTTTGCAATTCCAGTTTTGGCCAGGGCTGCGCCCAAGCGGTACCTGACGGGGTTGTTGTTCAGCGACACCCGCAGTGACTCCAGGCAGTTGAGCAGGTGAGCGTCCCTCAGGTTTAATTTCAGCTCCTGGATATACATCATGGCTGACTTGGAGCTCTCCTTCTGGTTCATGCCCTGCACGGGGAAGAAAGCAAGCTCTTCATGCAGGCCAGCTGCAGCTCAAGGACAGGAACATGGTTTTAAGTGGAATTTTAATGGATTTTACGTACAAAAGAGACAACTTGAACACGTTTCAACCAGCAACTGTTTTGAGGTTTGCAAGGCAGGCAGTGCTCCAAGAGGTTCCTTACAAGAGCTGTGTGGATCTATACCTGGATCTCTTTTATTTATCCATGGTCTGTTACTGGTTAATAGGAAATTCCCCTTTGCTTTCCATGGGGCTGCACTGATATCACGCTGTTCAACAGCTTTAAAATAGATCTTTTCTGCAAGTGAAGTACAACTCCATCCAAAGACCTATTCTCCTCTCCCTACACTTCATATTAAACCATATGAGGTGCTTAAAACTACATATGGAAAGGTTTACATTGCTCTTGTTGCCAAAAAGGGCTATCATTTCACTTTATGTTCAAAGAAACTGATCTTATATTCTGCCAGGAAGCTGATTTTGGCCACTCTACAGCTTCTGGCAAAACGTCTAAAGTGAAGGGATTTCCCTAAAATCTTTACCTTGAACTAATGTGGTTCAAAGCCCCAGAATATCACATATGTTCAAATCATTCAAGCTGTTACACACCCTTTAAGGCTCTTTTCTTTACACAGGTTTCTCCTCATAATAAAGAACTGTCAGGAGAAAAAAAACTGTAGTTGTCCATCGTTATGTTCTTGCAATATGTTTCTAGCAGGATGGCTTTTTCTGATGGTGATAAGTATCTTGTATTAGAAAGGAGGGCATTTACTTTGGTTCACAGTCTGCTGCAAGGGCTGCTCTGCGTGAGGCCGTCTCAGCTCCGGTTCCGTATCACAAAACCTGAGCCCAAAAGGTCCCCACCTGGTGACGCCCTGAGCCCATTTCAGGCCCAAGAAAATGGCTGCACGTTCAGGAACAACGAGGAAACCTTCTGCCTACCCCAGATAATATCTTGCACACGCAGCTACTGAACAGGGCTCAAAAGCTGTGACTAACACCCATAACACGAGAGTCGCACTTAAAAGACAAACTCCCAGGGAAATGCTCACTTTTAGCCAGGAACTACAAAATCTCCCTTATTCCAAACACTAACACCCAAGCCCCAATGTCTTTATGTGTGTGTGTGTGTGTGTGTATATATATATATATATATATATTTATAGATATGCTTCCTATTTGAGCTCAACTACAAGATTCCTTTCACAGTGCGTGAACTTCCTTAATCACTTTGGGCCCCAATGGTTAACTCTACAGCTGAAACACAAACTCTTCTCTGCCAGCTCCTCATCAGCCTTGCTGCACTGCATCCTCTCGAGAGGCCCAATAATTTAATGCATCACACCCCCATTGTATGATTTTCTTCCTGGCACCAGATAGGAGGTTCTATTCAGGGAAAAAAAAAAAAAAAACAGCAATGAAAAGGAACAGAGAGAGCTGGTAACGTGAGAGTTACTTGGAGAGAAGACAAGGAATGTTGCCAGAACAGGAGCTTGCACTGAGGAGCCAAGCAAAAGTGAAGAACAAGCCCAGCAGGATTTGGCCAACATTAGAATAGCAAGAGGCCCTTGGGAGAAAGGGCTCAGGGAGGGTAGGATTCACATAGCAGGAGCCTCTAGACAGCTGCTCAAAGTGCTCTTCCCTTCTCAGGTAGGGAGGATACAGGAGAGTTTGGTAAACAGTGTCCCAGGATCCGGAAAGATGACTACAAACCCTTCCATGATTCTGGAATAAGGACGTGAATTACAGGACTGCATCCCTGGGCTTTTCTCATGCTGCAGACACTGTTAAGCAGAAGCAGCCCCCAGCTTCCTCCAGAACCCTGTTGGACCTTGTTGTTGAGGTGTTATTGACCCTGGGGCCAACTGTGGCTGTTTGCACTGGACGTATTAACGGCGTATTAGATAGCATTGCTAACGTGCTGAGAGAGCTGGAATGTGCCACATCAAGCATTTTTTCCTTCCATACTTCTTTGCTCCACAAACAAGTCAAGGTCTAGAATCAGCTTTGCCATCTAAGCTGCAGTTTCCTCCCTGCAGGCTTCTAAGTGGAGAGTTAACTCCTAAAAGGGAGTTTGCTCGGCACAAGCAGCCGCGGGAAGCAGGCAGCATCCTGAGTGACATCCAGAGAGCTCCCTGCAGCCATGCCAAAGAGCTGGGAACGCGGGAGCCAAGGCCTTGCACAACCAAGAGGCTGCCACTACTCCTTAACTCGTGGATTCGAGGATAGTATTTTTAGACAAGCCTCATCCTGCCTACGGCACAATGTGATATAATTGTACTTCCAAAACGTACTGTTCTGCTACACGGAATATTTTGCGCCAACAATAACTCAAAGAGCTCTTCCTTTTACAGGAGCACATACCTGGAGGTCCCACTTTCAACCTTGGGTAGCATCTACCCTCAGACCCGCCTGAGGTGACAGTTCTGCCTCAATCCGCTTTGCACTACGGAAACAGTCACTAATGTCACATATGTCACCTCCTGTCACTAGCAGAAATTAGAAACTATCTTGCAGCTGGGCACAAGATAATACTGCATAAAACTTGTCACCCACTGGAACCTTTCTTTCTGTGGACTCTGCCTCTCTCCTGTGTAGATATTTAAGTGGAGGAGCCCAAACTCCTGGATCTCCAATTTGCCAGTCCTTTCTTCAAGAACTGAGGATTCAGAAGTCAGCTGGCTGGTTTAAATGCTTATGCCAACAAAAAGGCAGGGGTGGAAAGAAAAGGGTGTGTGTTTTTTTTTTAATGAACAGAGTATCACACTGAAACTGGAAATTTTGGTACCTTCAAACAAAAAGATGGGATCTGAAAACAGCAAGTTACACCCTGAACTACAGGAAGAATGAGGTGTGGATGCCAACACCTTTCATGGAAAAGCAAATGCTCACAGGTAATGGGGTGACCAAAGCAGCAGCAGTAGCAGAAAAAGCACTTGCAGGAATCAAGATTAAACTGAGGGAAGAAAGTGTCTGCCAGACCCAAGGGTAGGGAAGAAAAATAGGCCTTGTGAGCTGGCACCGATTAAGAAAGCATACAGGAAGAGAGAAGAGGTAGTGAGGGAGGAGATGAGTGGAAAACAGTTAAGGATAAGTGCAGAGGGCAAGAAAGCAGGTTTTTCACCCAGCAGCATAAAAACACTTAGATCTCAAATTCAATGTATCAGTACAGACTATTCAGACTGTCAAAAAAGAGGAAAAGAAAAGCATCAAGTGAATTTCAGAGAGAACACGCCTACGTAGCTCAAGTCCCAAACCTCAGGAGTTATTTGGAAATTTCGCCAGAAATCTTGCTTGAAGGTACCTTTCTCTCCCCCCTCCATCTAAAGTGATCCCTGGGTGAAGTTTTGTAAGGATCTGGAAGCAGTCAGGCCTCCGTTCAGGCTTACAGCATGAGATGTTTACGAGCAAACTGCAGATGACCTCTCCTCAACATAAAACAGGAAAATGTGGGTCTGTCAATGTGCTGGTGTTCTCCCTCACGTTGACTTTATTTTTTAACTGAAAAATGTATTTTTTTAAAATAAATTTGAATGTCAAGAAATAAAACTTGAAGAGACAAAGTTAAGTGAGTTTGCTTCCTCTTACCTTTGGTGAGGTCAGTGGTTACATGGGGAAAAAATAGGCTTTTGAAATAGCCTTTATAAAGCTGTGCTCTCCAAACTCTTCACTATTTAGCAATAGGGTCACCATATAAAATTGTTATTTTTCAGAATTTGACACACCTTGAGATAGTTCTCCACTATTTTTTTTTTCTTTTGCAAAGAAAACTTTTGAACATATCATAATATCAAAAAAAGATATCAAAAACCACATTCATAATGCATCAAGGTATTAAGAACTATGTGATTTTTTTTTAAGAAGCATTTGCAGGAGCTCCTTAAAAGTTTTATTAGAAGAAAAGATGTCATTACTAGCTACAGAATACTTTGGTTCCCTCTGTTCCAGGAAATCCAGCTATGGAAGTTGACCAAATGACATAAAATACAGGACAGATGAGTCTTTATTACAATTTAATAGTAGCTTAATTACTGCATGACAAATCACTTCACTAAAAACTTCCTCCAAGGACAACTAAATAAGTAATTGTGGAGCTATATACTAGAGACACTAAGGTTTTATGTGGTCTAGATACATTTCTTTTGACTTATTCCAGGGGACTGTGCTTTATGTCTTGTTTTATCTTAAGAAAATTTTGAAAATGTTATTTAAAAGCCAGGCTGGAGTTTTTGTCTTGGAGCCACTTCTGAGCCTACAGCAGCTCCCCCAGATAATCTCAGAACATCATTAAGGGATGGAAGTACTCACAGCCTGAGATGTGTGCAGATACTGGGACACCATCTCCCTCTTGATCAGGATGTCTTTCTCTCTCAGAGGCTGTTGTTTCTCCTCATTTAGGTTCATATCGAGCTATTGAAGAAAAAAAATTACAAGTTTTCAAATGCCCTTGCTCTTGGAGCCGCATTCAGCCAACAAAGCATCATTTACCTTCTACAGCACAGTCTAATACCAAAGCATGGCAGAATTCTTCCACTTTTGCCAAGACAAAACAAATATGCACGTCAGGAGCAAGGAAAACCTGCACTTACCTTCTGACCTTCCCCAGAAAAGTGAGTGTGTGGGAGAAGGACAAGAGCAACCTT